TTGATTGGTCGGACTCGTGACTCCCAACAAATCAGATGGGCGGTGGGCGGAGATTGCTTTAGGCCACAGAGTGGTGAGTTCTGACAGGCTGCATCAGAGCCAAATAGCGCGTTTCAAAATTAAGTTATTTTATCGGCAAATCAGTTTTGAAAATGACCGATAATCATAAAAATGCTTAATATCGGCGCCGATAATCGGTCGACCCCCATTTTTAAGGATTATTTGAAATGCCACCGATTATAAATTAGCATTCTCGTTTACAGTGTTTTCCAGTTTGTCATCTTTATATGTGAATCTCTGTGACTGGTGTGTGTGTCTCATGTCTCTGCTGGACTGGCATTACACACACACACACACACACAAGCTCGGTGTGTTTGCCAGGATTCCCTTGTGTCCTGTGGGAGTTTTCTGTTTGCCCTTTGCATCTGTTTCAAGCTTTTGCTTGAAGGTGTCTTATTTTACAGTCTTTTTACACATCTATTTTAAATATGTGGTGTTTAAATAACTTATGGTGGTAATAATGTCTGTAGCCTAATATTATAATATTAGATATATAATAATATTTTGTTTAACGTTTTGGTTTACAATTAATATTTTATACATTTAAAAATCATAAAAATATTTGTGTAGTGGAGTTTTGAGTGGTCCTTCAGTAGTGGTTATAAAATAATCATATATTTAAATGAAATAAAACACAAATAAAACAAAATAAAAATTACATTAAATTAAATAATAAAATAAAATAAATACAATTAAAAAATTCAGGTTTTCTGGAGAAAAAAAAACAATGTTACTGGAAAGGGTTTGGTGTATAAAGTACAGGTTCAGGAGGTTCAGGTCATAATGGCTTTTAATACGATGGACAGAGACCCTCCCCACCAATCAATAGAGCTGAAGCTTCTGGACATCTGCTGATCATCACACACACACACACCCTAACCTGTGACCTGTGAGCACATGCAGTCTGAGTGGTTTATTAGTCTAATTATATGAATTGTTCATGTCCCATCATGCACATTAGAATTAGATGTTTAATTTTTTATTGTGTTTGATTGTTAAAACAAAAAATATTTGTTGTTTGTCTCAATAAATTGTGTTAATTATAAATACAGTGGTTACATTTAAACTTTTTTTTTTCTATTGCTTTTTGTTTTAAAAAAGGTTATAAAAATGTCAATAATTATCGATACCGAACGATATGAAACATTATATCGTTGATAATTTTTTTTAGCTATATCGCCCAGCCATACTCTATTCATTATTTTTTAGAAACCTCGCACTTTTCTACTCAATTTTAAACGTTGTTCTTGTATTCAAATTAAACGCGTTCCACTGCAGCGCACGTGCCACAATATCGATACACGATAAATCGTCGTATCGAACACAGCACTAGTAAACGTTTAGTTGCATCAAAGAGCTAGAAAATCCTGTTTTCCATGATATGGACCCTTTAAAAGCCTCTTTCAGTGTGTGTGTGTATGTGTGTGTGTTTTTAAGCTCGTCATCACCATGGAGACTGACCGTACGTATGACACGTTGTGTCCAGGATCCTCAGTGTCATTCATCACTCATCCGTCTATCTGATGGCTCTATAGAGATGAACTGACTATGATTCTCTCCCGCAGGAAATTAAACCCCAGAGTCACTATAACCATGACTACAGCGAGAGCGTCAGCCGCAAGAGCCACGTGGACGACTACAGCACTTGGGACATCATCAAAGCCACCCAGTGAGTCTACACACACACTGGAACGACCGTCTACACAAATACCCCCCTCCCAGAAACAACTAGATGATGATCACGAACATGTCGACAAAACCACGTCATATGAGCAGCATGATTCTGTATTATCAGTGAACGCAAAAGACTTTTCTTTTTTTTTTTGACACTTTTTTTATGTTTGTTGGCCAGTGTTAAATTTAACAAACTATAACAAAAAATATTCATTTTTTTCCATGACTAATAAAAACTTTGTATATCCAAAATTTCTCTATATTGCCTTCAACATAAAAGAGGAGATAAAATACAGACCTCCAAGAGTTTATGTTTGAGGTTGCCAGATGTCAAGAGTTTAAATTCCGCATTATAGAGCCCTATGAAATCTCTTTTATTTTTTCCCAAATTCTATTTTATTTTTTTATAATTTAATTATTTTTTGCTGTTTTAATTTTTATGGACTTCTCTTCTTTTACATTTTTTTTCATTTGAATTTTCTGGTCTCTGTTTTAATGGTTAAATTAAATGTTAGTAATCAGAAGTCATGTTTAATAATTGAAAATCATGAAACTTACACAACTTAGCAATAATTTATTAAAAATTTACCAAAAATTACATTTTTAGGACCCTATGAAATGTGTTCCGTTTTATATTTACAAAATTCTGTGTTTTGCATTTGAATTTTTCTGGATTCCATTTAATGGTTTAATAAAATTTTAATAATCGAAAGAGCATGTCCAATTAATTCATAAAAATTTATTTATATAAACTTAATTCATTTATTTATATATTTATTTATTTATTTAACAATAATTGGGCCCTATGATTTTTTTTGTTTTTTATTCTGTGTATTTTAATTTTACTGGTAATCAAACGAAGGCATAAAACATTAATTTAATGAATCTTTTAATCATATGAAAATTAAATAAATTATTTCATTTTTTGGCAAACTAAGTGCTACACAACCTTGTTTATGATTGAGGTTGCTGAACAAATGCACTTACACAACCTGTGCGCCACAATACAAAGACTTTTATGTTTTGATAGAAAGACATGAATATAATTCAGAATTATTGGAATTAATTCTAGGAAAGTCTCTGTTTTAGCTTTTGAGAGACGCTTTTGAGTTTTACCAGTTTTCAATGTAGAGTGTTTGTTTTATATTTATTGACTAAAACTAGACTAAAATTCCAGGACTTTGTCAACTAAAACCTGACTAAACAAAAACAGGACAGGTTGACTAAATATGATAACAAATAAAAAGGACATTTGACAGGACTAAGACTAATTAAAAAAACAACTGACAGAGCGAACACCAATGTTGGCAAAATGGATAAAAGCTGCTGTTCAGGGATGTTTTATGGTGTCATTTAAGGTGTATTTGTGCTCAGGTATGGGATATTCGAGCGATGCCGTGAGCTGGTGGAGGCCGGATATGACGTGCGTCAGCCGGATAAAGAAAATGTCACACTCCTGCACTGGGCGGCTATCAACAACCGCATAGACCTGGTCAAGTACGTATTCATTTTATACACATTCTCCGCTCCCTCCTGGATCCCTGGATCCTTTTTTTCCTCACGTTATTAAGACAGCACACACATACGCACACAGAGGAATGGATAGAGTTATTACTCTGTCAGCGCTCAGATGAGAAAATCTTGAAATTCCCATTACGAGGCTGTGTGTGCGTGTGCATATCCTCCTCTTAATTAGCGCCTGCTCTGGCGCAGTCATTCATTTTACGCTGCTCTCTTTTGCAACTGTAAGATAAAGCCTAGACGTCTCGTTTCCTGAATGCTGTCTGTCGATTCACTCTTTTTAGGTACTACATATCTAAAGGTGCCATAGTCGACCAGCTGGGAGGAGATCTCAACTCTACACCACTGCACTGGGCTACACGGTGTGTGTTTGAAATGCAATACCAGCATACTGCTTATTGCAGACCACCGAGTATATACTGTATACTGCTTGCCATTTAATTAATTAGTATGAAGAAATGTGGTTTCATGACCTCATAGAGTTAAACTGTGTAAAAATGGTTCTGATTTTTGAGTCAAGAAGAGAAAAGTCTTACTTGAATTTTCTGGTTTGTTTGTATCACTGGAGATGTAAGGGTAATTGAAATAAAGCTGAAATGAAATAAATACTGAAAAACGTAAATGATGAAAAACTTAAAATTAGCTGAAATAAAGTATGTTTAACTTGAAGTACTAAAATTACAATAACTAAAGCTGAAACAAGTTAAAGTAGTAATACAAACAAACAAACTAAAAATAATGAGCACAACATTTCTCAAACTTTAATTATAATTAAAACATTTTTTGGGTAATTGAAATTAAGCTGAAATGAAATATAAATATTAGATAAACAAATTATCTAAAATAAAAAGTTGAAGTTGAATTACAAAAACTGAAATAAGTTTAAGTACATTTTAAATTTAAAAAAAAACTGTCAAACTAATAAAATGACAAACAAAACCGAAATTACTTAAACTAAAATTAAACCATCTTTGAGTAATTGAAGTTAAGCTGAAATTAAGTGTAAATATTAGGTGGCAAAACTTGCGAAACTTGTGAAAAAAGGAAACTTATCTGAAATAAAATAAGTTTAAAGGTGTAGTACTAAAATTATACAAATTTAAACTGAAATAAGTAAATTAAAAATAAATAGAAATATAAAAAAACTAATAAAAATGACAATACAAAACAATATTACTGCAACTTAAATTCAAATTAATCAATTTTTAGTTAATTAAAATAAAGTTGAAATTAAAAATAAATATTAGAAGGGGAAAAAGAAAATTAGCTGAAATAATTTGAACTTGAAATACTACTAAAATTGCAAAAACTGAAGTATTAAGTTAATGAAATATAAATAGAAATAAAAATGACAAACACAAAACAGAAATGACTAAAATTTCAACTAAAAATAAGATGAATTTAAAATGAGAACTGAACTTTTTTTTTTTTTTTTTTTTTTTTTAAATACGATAATAGTACATACCTGTATATTATACTAAAACAGGGATCCTCAAATCTGGCCCAAGAGATCCACTTTCCTGCAGAGTTTAGCTCTAAACCTAATCAAACACACATGAGCATGCTGATCAGTGTCTTCAGGATCATTAGAAAATCACAGGTAGGTGAGTTTGATCAGGGTTGGAGCTAAACTCTGCAGCACATTGGCCCTCCAGGGCAAGATTTGAGGAACCCTGACTGTAGTAAAATAGTAGTGCATTACATTGTGCTCTGTTGTAGTTTGTGAGATGTGATAGGTTATCCAGTTATTCAATGCATACAGAAACGTGCATAGTGTGCACACTGCAAAAATAGTGCAAGTATGCCAGTACTGCATGTATGTTTTGTGCGTGCGTGATGTTTTATTAATGCACACACCTCTCATCTGCTCTCTCGCATTCAGACAGGGCCATCTCTCCATGGTGGTGCAGTTAATGAAGTACGGCGCTGATCCTTCTCTCATCGATGGCGAGGGATGCAGTTGTGTGCACCTGGCCACTCAGTTTGGACACACCTCCATTGTGGCGTATCTCATTGCCAAAGGACAGGTACACTTGTTTAACACTTATAAAACGCTGATCTCATCAAAACAAAAGCTGGCAAAGTCACAGCCAATCAGAATATTTTGATTGCGATTTTGAGCCAATGAGATTTCACTGTGGGTGGAGCTACTCAGGAAGACGCCCTATCACTCAATACTGTTTATTAACATGCTAAAGAGTGATTTATCATGCATTTTGTTGTGCTTAGTCCATTTTCAGCCTGCAGGGGGCGTTATGACATTTCCATCCATGGAAGTTTGACCTCTAGGAAAAATGACACCGTGTTTGATCTCAGTCTGATCTTTCTTTTAAGTCTTCTCTGTGTCATATTCTCTAGGATGTGGATATGATGGATCAAAATGGCATGACCCCTTTGATGTGGGCGGCTTATCGGATGCACAGGTGCGTGTGTATTGTGAGAGGACATGTATTTTTTTGCCATTGCCAGATGTAAAACTAATTAGATGGGATTTCTGCAGTGTTGACCCGACACGGCTGTTGCTGACGTTTAACGTGTCGGTGAATCTGGGTGATAAGTATCATAAGAACACGGCTCTACACTGGGCGGTTCTGGCTGGAAACACTACCGTCATCAGCCTGCTGTTGGAGGCCAATGCTAATGTCGACGCTCAGAACATCAAGGTAAAGTCCAGACGCCTACACTAGCATTCTGAAATCAAGTGTGTAGATTGGTGGTACTTTTTTTTTTAATTATTATTATTATCGGCATCGGCCAGGAAGTTTTCTTTTTGGCCACTAAGTGTTGAATGTAGAACTTTTATTTTGACACCCATTCTCCATCTCTATCCATTTAATGTCTTCTTTATTTAACAGTTCTGTCTGATAATTGAACAGCAAATGCTGTAACACCTTTTCATACTGTATGCATTCAGCAAAAATGCATTTTAAATAAGTATTTAAATATTTAATGCCACAAACCTAGCTAACTCCAGTTGTTAGGGATATAAATGCTTTTTTGCTGTGTGCTGTATGTAAAATTTGTGTTAAGTGGTCTTTATTTGAGAGAATATGATTCCTAGTGCGCACAGACTTGCCAAATTACAGTGCGTACTTTTGGTTATAGTGTTTACTTCCTTTTATTTGGTATTTTTAAACTTCTTGATTTGTGAAAAAAAGTATAATAGGATTACAGAATCAGAAGTTGCTATGCAAAGTATAAATCAGTCTATTTGACTTATTTATGAGCAAGTTCAAATCATTTTTTTAAATGAATTTTCCAATTATTTATTGCTAATTATTTTAGTAAATTTTATTTAAAATTAATATAAATTCCATTGCAGTAATTAAGTATATGTTATATCTTTAAATTAAATAGTGTAATTTCTGCTTAGTGTTATTGTAGTATTATTTATATACTAATATAGTTTTTATTAATTTTTGTAAATTTTTAATTGTTTATTTTTAATTTGGTTATATGTTTTGTCATGTGTATAATTTTTTTTATATATTTTTCTAAATAGTTTAAACATTTTTATTTTTTAGTTTTACCTTTAGTTTTATTTCAGTTAGTAATTTTAAAAGTTGAACTTAAACTTTTTCAATTTTTGTTTAATTTTTAATTTTTATTTTATTTCACATGAACAGATAAATGTATAATAGTTATAGATTTAATTAATGATAACCACACTGGTGTACATGACATCTAATAATATTTGTTGCTTGCAGGGGGAGACGCCACTGGATTTGGCCAAACAGAGGAAAAATGTGTGGATGATAAATCATCTGCAGGAGGCCAGACAAGCCAAAGGTTACGACAGTCCCTCATACCTGAAACGGCTCAAAATGGACAAGGTAGAGCAACCGATCAATTACCATTAAGGAGAAATCAAAATGTATTGCATGCACTCAGACGTTTCTCTGTCCGTCTGCAGGAGTTCAGGCAGAAGGTGATGTTGGGAACTCCGTTCCTGGTGATCTGGCTGGTGGGATTTATCGCCGATCTGGACATTGACTCCTGGCTCATCAAGGGTGTGATGTATGCAGCGATGTGGCTCGTCGTGCAGTTTCTGTCCAAGTACGACGCCGTATTACCCATCTGTGGTGCTACTCAGCCTTTTAATGCATTCTGATGTGAATGCAAAGCATCATCGCTAATATTTGATCTCTGCTTCTAGGTCTTTCTTCGATCACTCCATGCATAGTGCTCTTCCTCTGGGCATCTATCTGGCCACTAAGTTCTGGATGTACATCACCTGGTTTTATTGGTTCTGGAATGATATCCTTTTTAGTTGCTCCATCAGTTTGATGATCATAATAAGAAACTGATGCAACTCTATAAAGGCTGATTCAACCTACTTAATCAGAATATTGTATTTAGTTCTTCTGACACAACATCATTTATCAGCAAAAGCAAATCTAGCATTTGCCTTTGTGATTCACATAAGCATCCATTGATATGTTGGTTGACTCAGAAGAACATGCGTACAAGAACGCTGACAGCAGGAAACCAGGTCAGCTTTTTATCCAAGAGCTAAAGAATTTTACATCTTCCTTTGAAAACATCTTCTTTTTCTGTCTTTGTTGTTTTCCCGACATGACACTTAAAACTGGGTTGCTGAAGTGACCCAATTTATATGGCAATATCTCACTTTTCAGTGTTGAAAGATTGAAAATGATCTGGTATAGAAGCTTTTTTGTTTAAACGTTCACTCGGTGTGATGGACTTAATGAAAGGAACGGATGAGAGAAAGAAATTCTTATAGGGGAAGATATAAGAAATATGACGTTTAGCGGTATGTTCAGTAGTTTAGTAGCATCCATTCACACTTCATGAAAACAAACTGAGATGAAAATATCCCTCTTTCACCCACGGTTTACTGACGCCAACTTGAGTTAGTGGGTTTTTCTGGAGATCATTTGTTTCAAGTTGTGTTGAAGTGTAAAACTCTAGGCAGATGCATCATCTTTGACAGGCTTGACATGGATATGCCTAATTTTCCACAGAAATGTTTATCAGGAGTGACTCGCACAATAAATGTAGTGAATTTTGACAAGTGATATAGTGTGGGTGAGAGAAGGGCTGGGCGGCTTGACAGTATGTATTGTGCAATGGTAGAAATGTGTCAAATACTGGTAGATATTTCCACACGCTTATTGGTGCGGAGTGAAGCTTTACATTATTTATAGGAGAGATAGACACAAAATGAGGTTTTGCAAAATAATAAATGCAGTTGGGAACAGATTTGGAGAAATGTAGCATTACATCACTTGCTCAGCAATGGATGCTCTGCAGTGAATGGGTGCCGTCAGAATGAGAGTCCAAACAGCTGATAAAAACATCACAATAATCCACACCACTCAAGTCCATCAGTTAACATCATGTGGATTATTGATATGTTTTTATCAGCTGTTTGGACTCTCATTCTGATGGCACCCATTCACTGCTGAGGATCCATTGCTGAGCAAGTGATGAAATAATAAATGTTTCCAAATCTGTTCCTATAAACAAACAATATCATCTACAACTCGGATAGCCGGAGGGTCAGTAAACTGTCAGTAGATTTACATTTTCGTGTGAATTATTCCTGTAAGGGGTCTTTGTTATTAAGCAGTCTTTTGTTATGAATAATCTGATCCATCAATTTGTGTCCATCAATTTTATCAAGAAGAAATAATCAAATAAGATGGAGCACTTTTCATGTGTGATCTATTTATTTTTCTGGATTATCCAACATTTGGCATTCCTCTATAGTTATTTAATATATATAAAGTGTTTTGTTGAATTTCTAGCAAAAATAACTATATTGTGCTATAAATGATGACTGTTATATATAATTACTCATACTGTGATATAAGATACTGTTCATGACGCCCACCATTAGGTGAGAGAAAGCAAGTACAAACACAAGAAAGCCGAGTTTTTGTCTGGTAATGACAATCTTGCATTTCTGTGGTTATGGTGCTGGCAACATTAGTGGTAAAATAGGATTTCTTCCCAAAGCTGAAGCATTTTCTTATCTCCTGAGCAAACCACTCAAGACGTGACTCATGTCTGGATCTGCAGCTGCTGAAATGTGGTTCGTGTGGCTGTAATTGGAGGTTGTGGAGTGATGTTTAGTGTGCACAGAACCGCCGTGTGTCCAGGTGCTTCAGGAATAGAAACAATGCGCTCAAACCCTGCAGCTAAAATCACTGAAATCAGATCGAGAGCTCTGGGTGGATCTGTTTCCCTCTCGCCTTTATCATCCAACAATAGAGCATCTCCTCTGAGGATTGAGCTCTTGTTTTTTTTCCTGCTGTAATTGTTGCCTGTATGCAGCGAAACAACTGACCCACTTACAGGAGAAACAGATTTTCTGCATTTGTCAGTGTCTTTTTGGACATAGTTTGCTTCTGGTTGATGGAGACGCTCGTGTTACATGCAGATGTCAAAGCCACAAGTCAAACAGGAAATGTTACATTTTTAAATAAATACTTCATTGAAATGTGGAAGCTCAGAATTCCACGGAACTTTCGGTCTCAATTCAAGAAGTCATTTGTCAAACTGTATGTTCGATTTAAACGGGATGAGAGAAAGTACATTTCACTAATTTACTAAACTTGTGAAGTTTCTTAGATTTTTAATAGGACTATGAGTTTGCATGTCTTAAGAGGATCACAGTTTGATTGACTACTAGCTCAGTTATTATTTTTTGTCGTAAGATTTGTGATGAAATCATTCTTTTAAATAGGTTCCTTTCACTAAATCAGTGGGTCTCAAATGATACATTCAAAACAGTCTGATTCAATAATTGGTCCAAAAAAAGTATACCCTGTTGATTCTTTTGCTGTGCCATATTAAACATAACTTCCTTAACTCTCCACACATCTCCCTTTCGTCACCATCCACCTGCCCTTCCTGCTCAATAGTCTAGCTCTCTTCTACAACTTTGGCAAGTCCTGGAAGTCCGACCCTGGTATCATCAAAGCATCCGAGGAGCAGAAGAAAAAGGTAAAATCTCAATCTGCAGATCAAATTTACTCATCCTCAAGTCATCCAAGATGTAGATGAGTTTGTTTCTTCATCAGATTTGGAGAAATGTAGCATTGCATCACTTGCTCAGCAATGGATCCTCTGCAGTGAATGGGTGCCGTCAGAATGAGAGTCCAAACGGCTGATAAAAACATCACAATTATCCACAAGTAATCCACACCACTCCAGTCCAGCAATTAACATCTTATGAAGCCAAAATCTGTATGTTTATAATAAACAAATCCATCATGATGATGTTGCTTCTGGCCAAAATACAGTGAAATACTTTCTCCAGTGAAAATGTTGTCTCATCTGAATCAGGGGAGAAAACTGTACAGATCAAGCACCGTTTACAAGCCAAAACAGTCCAAAATAAATATGTGGGTGAATTTTGATGTGAGAGGACAAGAGAATTAACTTTTTCACTGGAGGAAGCGTTATATGGATGTATATTTTGGCCAGAAGTGACCATTTTTGGTTAAAATGCCTTGATGGATTTGTTTCTTACAAACACGCAACTTTTGGCTTAACTGGTGGACTGGAGTGGTGTCGATTATTGTGATGTTTTTATCAGCTATTTGGACTCTCATTCTGACGGCACCCATTCACTGCAGAGGATCCACTGGTGAGCAAGTGATGTAATGCTACATTTCTCCAAATCTTCGAGTAGTATGATTCAGGGCTTTTTAACTTGTGCCAGTAATCAACCATCCAGAACACTGATGCTTTATGCACAGGAAAGCACCACTCTCATTTTCTTCAGAAAATGTAAAAATGCTCTGCTGTTTTCTCTTCGTCTCTCTTCAGACTATAGTTGAATTGGCAGAAACAGGCAGTCTGGATCTCAGCATATTCTGCAGCACCTGTTTGGTAATTATGACTCCCTTCTATTCTGCACACCGCTGCTTGAACACAGTCAGTGTTGGCAAGCTGATAACTCAAAAGTCTGATTTGCATTGCAATTTCCATCGAGTTGCCCGTGCATAAAACACTCACTTTAACGGCCTGTTCTCCACAGATACGGAAGCCAATCAGATCCAAACACTGCGCTGTTTGCAATCGATGCATCGCCAAGTTTGATCACCACTGCCCGTGGGT